GAGAGAGAGAGAGAGAGGTCATGAGAAAACCCCTCCAAGACGTGGGCAATTGCAGAGCTAAGTTTCAATGCTTTCAATCTGTCTTGAAGAGCCTTGAGCTTTTGCTTGCACTCGGAAGCAGAAGGATTCAAAGTGGGTGTGGGTGCAGGGGCTTCATCGTCCGAGGAATGAACCTCGACTGGTGCGAAGATCTCAAACGAAGGAACCTTGCAGGGGGCTCTGGGTTTCTCTTCCTGAAGCCTCTCCTCCACATCTTGGGCTGAGTCTTCCTGAACCCTCTCATTTGGGGCTTGGGAATCACGAGTCTCGGGCTTCAGCTCTTCTCGTTCCTCCTCATCGTGTTCACTCCTGTTCTCGGGCTCTAGCTCTTCCTCCGCATCACCACTTTCCTCGCCACCGGGGATTGGCATGTTCTCATCCAGCTCGCCCTCGCCATCAGGCAAGTCTGCCAGTTCAAACTCCGATTCATCCTCCTCATCCTCCTGCAGAGCTACATGACTGGATTGCACGAGCGGACAGAACATTTCTGACGTGCACACACGTGAGGGATTTAAGTCTGTCCTCCTCGGCACTGGGTGGGTCGTCCAACTCATGCAGACGCTCCGGATACCACTTCGCAAGCAGAATGCGCTTGAGGCTTCGGACAATGGGGTCCTCATTTCAGATCTACACAGCAGATATAGAAACAAATTATAGCACAATCAAACACACCCAACCTGAGCAGTCAAGTGTCCGTGGGTCTAGTGGTCTGCGCAAGTCTTTTCACAAAGTGTGAAAAGAGCTTGCGCAGGCCCCAACCGTCACAATCTCGTTGTGACTTGGGCACCTCCTTCCCGCACAGCTTGCACAGATTCAGCACCTGTCAAAGATGATGAGCAGCGTGCTTCGACTGCTCAAACATGTGCAGCACAGACATTGGAGCGCTTAAGAATTGAGCCTGCTCTTTCATGAGTGGCACCCCCGGTGACTTAGGAGCATCACATTCAGCCACCCAGGCATTGAAAAAGATAGTGAGCACCTCTCCATTGAGCGATGCCGCCTTGTAAGAGGCGACCCCTATTAGTTCGGCCTTCGGCCAAGCCAATAATCGCCCATCCCAGAGTATGCGGCGCCGCACGGTCTCACAAGCTTCCCAATCTTTCGGGAGGTGGGGCATGGGCAGCTCTCGCTGCCGAAGTGGTTGGGGAACAGGATTTTGCACGTCCTGGCCGCACTTCCTGTTCCGTGCAACTGCCATGGCTCGTCCTTGCGCAAGCCTAGGCCTAGATAAACAAAATCAAACTCGACCTCCAGAGCCAATGAAACAATGTATATTGGACAGTCTCACTAGCATCCATCCACACTGCAGGATCCTTCATGCAGCTGCTCGCCAAGTTCCGGGCTACTTCGGCGTATTGACGAGTCAGCAGGGAGGAGGCCCAGCAAGCGACCTGCGCTTGTCGGGTGTGCAAGGTGCTAGTGGCGCCCCTTCAGAGAAATCTCTGTCTTGCCGGCGTGCCATACTCGAAGAGTATCTTTCAATCGTGGCTGCTGGGTCTCTGCGCTATGACTATC